CCCCCTCCCCCGCCCCTCCGGACCCTCTCGGCGGCGGGGGGCTGCCGGGTCCCCACCAGCCTCACCTACACCGTGGGGTCCCCCCCGGCGGCGGCCGCCTGCAGCCAGCCCGAGTGCGGGGGAGGGGGCACGCAGTCCATCACCTCCCCCCTCCCCGCCAACACCCCCTCACCCTCCTTCAGCAAACTGCCCCCCACCAAGGCCAGCAAATCCCCCCGGGCGCGGGAGGCGTCCGGCAGGACGGACACGGAGCCCCGGCCCTGGCAGCCCCCCGCCACGGCCGGCAGCCCCCCGTACAAACGGACCTGCTTGGGGGACAGCGTCAAGGGCAAAAATCAGGGCTTGACTCCCCCCGGCAAGACGAAACTCACCCCCTCGGCTTCGCCCTCCGTCGCCATCCTCAACGGGACCCCTCGGGTGCGACGGCCGCCCCCCGCCCAGCCCTGCCGCGCCCCCCCCGCCGCCCTGGACCCCCAAACGCCGCTGCACGGGCTGGGGGGGCCCCCCCGGGGGCTCTCCGAGGATGAGGTGAAGAAGCGCAAGAACTCGGCCACCTATTGCCGACCCCTGAAGCCCAAAGCCGCTCCCCCCCTGCCCGGCCCCCCGGCCCCTCCCGGCTCCGGCACCCCCGGCTCGGGGGGCTCCGTCCGCAGGAAGAAGCCGGGGACGCCCCTGGGTTTCGAGGAGAAGAGGAGCGTCCTGAAGGTAGGGCTGGGGGGTGGGTGGTGGAGCAGGGGGACCCCCCCGAGGGTCACTGGGACCAGCAGGCGGTGGGGTGGAACACTGGGATTGGGGTCACGGGAGATCTCTGTCCTGGGGGGGCACCGTGGGCCCGAGGGGGGAAGCACGGGGACATGCTGGTCTGGCGGGGGGGAACGCCCTGTCCTGTGCTGTCGGGGGACACCGTGAGGATCTCCCCGACCCTGGGGACACCGTGGGGCTCCCCTAGGCCTGCGGAGAGTCCCGGGTTCCCCCCAGGGCTGACTCGCCCCCTCTCCCCCCTGCAGTCCAAAGCCCATTAACAGAGGGGTCACCGGGCCCCCCCCCGTGTCCTCCCCACCGGGAAACGCCAGAAAACCGATGAAGGGGGAAAAAAAAATCCCAAGGAAACACGAAGGAAAATCCCAAACTTCCAGAAAATACCTCAAAACTCTCAGTTCTGTTCTCTTGCTGCTAAACCAGCCCCGGGAGGAGGGGGCGGCACTGGGACCCCACCCGGACCTCCCGGGGCCCCGTCGGCCGCGGATATTTATAAGAAACGGTTGTTGCTGTTTTTGTTCTTTTTGTAAAAAAAACAAAGAAAAAAGAAATAAAGAGTTGTGTAGTGAGGGGTGGGATAAAAGGGGTACCGGGGGTCCGTGGGTTTGGGGGCTGGGGGGAGAGGGGTGAGGGAGGGGGGCAGGGGGGTCTTTGGGGGATGGGGGGGCTCAGTGGGGCAGGGGATACTGGGGAATTATTGGGGGGCTGGGGGAGTGTCACTGCGGAGCTGGAAGGGGGTCACTGGAGCTGTTAAGTGTTGAGGGGATTGGGGGGTACTGGGGAGCTAGTTTGGGGGGCTGTGGAGGGTTACTGAGGGGTACTGGGGACCAGAGGGGGTCTTTGGGTTGCTGGGGGTGATGTGGAGCTGGGCAGGGGCTCATAAGGGTCTTTAGGAGGCTGAGGGGTCATTGGGGTGCTGGGGAGCTTACTGGGGACTCTAGGGGGTCTTTGGGGTGCTGCGGGGTGGGCAGAGCCCCATAAGGGTCTTTGGGGGGCTGGCAGTTGGTCAGTGGGGTCACTGAGATTCCGGGAGCTCGCTGGGGGGCTGGGTGGTGGTAAATGAGGTCGTTGGGGTGATGGGGAGGCCCAGTGAAGTCATTGGATGGGGGCATACTGGGAACCACAGGAGGTTTTTGGGGTGCTCGGGGGGCAGGTGGGGGCTCACAGGGGTGAGTGAGGTTCGTTGGGGTGCTGGGAGGGACCCCTAGAGGGTCTTTGGGGACTGGGGGGGCAGTGGGGTCATTGAGGGGCTGGGGAGATCAGTGAATTGCTCAGAGTGGCCTCAGTACGGTGGGGAGGTCCTGCGGCCATGGAGGGGTATCGGGGTGCTGGGAGGGCTAAAGGGGAGGTGCTGGGGAGCACAGGGGATCTCTGGGGGGACCATAAGGGTCACTGAGGTGCTAGGGGTGTCAGTCGGGTCAGTGGGGTGCTGGGGGGATCACTGGAGTGGGGGTGAGCACGGGGCTGGCCACAGGGGGGCTGCCCTGAACCCCCCTCCCAGCACAGAGGGTCGGGGTCAGAGGGACCCTGGGGTGACCGGGGTGCCTCCCCTCCTCCCCCACCCTCCTGCTCCCCCACCCCCCTGCTCCCCCACCTCAGCCCTTGCACCCCAGATGGGGGCTGGGGAGGGCAGCAGAGCCCCCCCACTCACCCCGAGGTGTCCCACAGCAGTGTCACCCTGTCCCCAGCCCACCCCAAGAAGGGATCCCACCTTGGGGACACCCCTTGGAGTCCCCCAGAACCGGGTGAAGGTTGCACAGGCACGAAGGAAACACGTTTATTTTGGCCAAGGCATCAGCGGGCATTGCCCAGTGCAGGGGGGGAACGTCCAGGGTGGGGTCACGGGAGGCACAGGCTGGGCTGGCATGGGGGGGGGCACCGCCTTTTTGGGGTGCTGGAGCCCCCGGGTCCCACCCCCTGTGGGGGAGGGGCTCTGTTTGCAGCTGTGGGTTGCAGGGGGGCTCAGGAGGGTGTTGGGGGTTCCCCAGGGGGTTGACACTCCCCCGGTGTCCCCCCGGGGGTGGCACATGCTCCCCGGGGGACTCATGCTTGGCCATGCACATGCCAAGGGGGGCCGGGGCTGCAGGGAGGGGGGTTCTGCCTGGTGCTGCCGTTCCTGGGGGCTCACAGCTGCCACTGTCGCTGTCCTTCAGTCCTCAGAGCCCGGTGGGGCTGATGCCCTGCAGTCGGTGGCCACGTTGTCCTCACAGACTTGTCCCTGTGGTCCTGCGGTGACCTCGGCGGGGGCCAGCAGTGATGCTCAGTCCTGAGGGGCAATGGTGACACCCCCAAAAACGAGGGACACGGTGGTGGTGGGAGTCTGATCATCCCTCCTGCCCAGGGACAGGTCACAGCAGGAGATTGTCCCCATGGTGAGTCCCCTCACACCCTCGTCCACTGCTGTCCCCCGGTGACCTTGGCAGGGGCCAGGGACAATGCTCAGTCCTGAGGGGGGATGGTGGGATCCCCGAAAACTGGGGACACGGTGATGGGGGTCCAGCCACCCCTCCTGCCTGGGGACAGCTCGCAGTGGCAGTGGGGACACGGGATGTCCCTGGGGACTCCCCATGCTGTGTCCCCTCACACCCTTGTCCCTCACAGTCCCCCAGCAATCTCAGCAGGGTCCAGGGATGATGCTCAGTCCTGAGGGGTGATGGTGGGACCCCCAAAAGCTGGGATATGGTGGTGGGGGTCTGGCCACCCCTCCTGCCGGGTGACAGACTGCAGTGGGGGACTGCCCCACGGTGTGTCCTTGTCCCCTGCGCTCGTGCAGTGACCTCGGTGGGGGCCAGCAGTGATGCTCCGTCCTGGGAGGCAGTGGTGTTGCCCCCCAAGTTTGGGACATGGCGGTAGGGGCCCAGCCACTCCTGCCCATGGCACGTCCATGGGGAACAGGTCACAGCAGCAGTAGGAACACAGGGTGTCCCGGTGGACTGTCCCCATGCTGTGTCCCCTCACACCCCTGTCCCTCACTGTGATCTCAGTGGGGATGTGGGACGGTGCTCGGTCCGGGGGATGATGATGGGACCCCCAAAAGCTAGTAGGGGTCCAGCCACCTCTCCTGCCCTGAGACAGGTCACAGTGGGAGACTGTCCCCAAAGCGTGTGTCACATCTTTGTCCCTCACTGTCGCATGGTGTCAGAGGCCTCGGCGGGGGCCGGCAGTGATGCTCAGTCCTGGGGTGTGATGGCGTGACCCCCCAAGCTGGGGACACGGCAGTGGGGGTCTGGCCACCCCTCCTGCCCAGGGACAGCTTGCAGTGGCCGACATGGGGTGTCCCTGGGGACTGTCCCCACAGTGTCCCCTCACACCACGATGGGCGTGTCGGAGAAGACGGAACTCACCGAGTCTGGATCCGACACCTTCCTCTGCGCCTTGGGGCCCTGCCGGGCGGGCAGCGGGGGGCTCCCCCCACCCTTGAACCTGCCGTTCTGCCCTGTGCCGCCGCTGGAGGCCATGTGGGATCCGCAGGGCTCCCCGGTGCCCCCGGCGTGGTTCGGGGTGGTGCTCAGCACCGAGGAGTTGATGCTGTCGTCGCGCGGTGCCGGCGGCTTCTCGGTGCCACGGCAGCAGCAGCAGCGGCACGGGGTGAGGTACAGGTAGATGAGCACCAGCACCACGCTCAGGATGCAGCCCACCAGAGTGGTGTAGGCCGTGTTCAGGGTGTCGTGGGGGCCGTGCAGGGTGAAGTTGTGCACCAGCAGCTCCACGTAGAGGGTCTCGTTGAGGAGGGGTCCGGCCACCCAGCAGGAGTAAGTGCCGGCATCCTCAGGGCGCAGCGCCCGTAGCTGAAGGCTGCCGTTGGCCAGCAGGACCACGCTGCCGTTGCCCCCGTCCCCCAGCACCCGCTCCCCGCCCGGTGTCACCCAGTGGCGGCTGCGCACACCCTGCCACCGGCTGTCACAGCCCAGCGTCACCGTGTCCCCGAGGTGCGCCTCCAGCACGGCCTCCCGTGCCTTGCTGCAGTTGAGAGGCTGCTTGCCCGCCAGGTCCAGGATCTTGATGAGAGTGGCTGCTCCGGGCAGGGAGCAGCGTAGCTCATCCTGGAAATCCTCCACGGCGCTGAGGTGGCGGCGGCGGCCGCGGTCCAGCAGCTGGAAGAGCGGGCAGTCGCAGGCCAGGGGGTTGTTGTGCAGGTAGAGGCGGTCGCGCAGCCAGGCGGGCAGCGCCTGCAGCTCTCCCACGGGCACGGCCCGCAGCCGGTTGGCCGACAGGTCCAGCAGCGCCAGCTGCGGCAGCCGGGTGCCCTCCCGGAGCAGCTCCAGCGGGAAGCGGGCGATGCGGTTCTGTCCCAGGTAGAGCTTGCGCAGCCGGCCCAGGTTCTCGAAGGCCGTGCGATCCACCGTGGCGATCTCGTTGTTGTACAGCAGCAGCACCTCCAGCTCGCCCAGGTCGCTGAACAGGTTCTCGTCCAGCGTCCGCAGGCGGTTGGAGGACAGGTCGAGGTGGCGCAGGCGCGGCACGTGGGTGAAGGCCTCGGTGGACACGAAGGCCAGCCCGTTGTGGCTCAGCAGCAGCGCGTGCAGGTGCGGCAGCCGTGCCGGAGCCCAGTCCGCGCGCAGCCGGGTCACGTTGTTGTGACTCAAGTCCAGCACGGCGATGAAGCGCGGCAGCGGAGCCGGCACCGCGCTCAGGTTGGCCTGCGAGCAGCTCAGCAGGTTGGAGGCGCAGACGCAGCGCGGGGGGCAGCTCCCTCCCGCAGACCCCCATGGGGACAGCAGGGACAGCGCCAGCAGCAGGGACAGCGGCCCCATGGGGACACGCACGGCCACGCTCGGGGCACGGGATGGTGGCATGATGGGGACACGCGGCGTGGAGAGCGGGGAAAGGCTTCAGTCACATGGTGTCACGGTGTGGAGTGGCTTGGTCACCCAGCGTCACAACACGGGGTGGCTTCGGTCACACAGAGTCACAGCAGGTGCAGGCTCAGGGCTCACCGGTGCTACGGTCCAGGGTGGCTTTCAGTGACAGTGTCACAGCAGGCTCCAGGCTGAGGGCTCACCAGGTGTCATGGTGCAAAGTGGCTTGGTCCCTTGGTATCACAGCCCAAGGTGGCTTTGGTCACCCGGTGGCAGGTGCCAGGCTGATCGCTGGTCACAGTCCGGGGTGGCTTTGGTGTGCCAGTGTCACAGCACCTGCCAGGCTCAGGGCTCACCCAAGAGTCACGGCACAGGGCGGTTTGGTCACCCAGTGTCACAGCATGTGCCAGGCTCAGGGCTCAGCCAATGTCACCAGTCCAGGACGGCTGCAGTGACACGGTGTCACGGCATGCTCTGGGCTCAGGGCTCAGCCGGTGTCACAGCACGATCTGGCTGCTCACCCGGTGCCATGCTGCGGGGTGCTTGGTGTCACAGCGTTCCGGGGCTGTCACCAAGTGCCCTGGTGTGCACCCAGAGTCACTGCCTGCGGTAGCTGTTGTCCCCCAGTGTCACAGGGTGTCCATGGGTCACTGCCCACCCAGGTCACGGTGTGGGGTGGCTCTATCTCCGCTGTCACGACATGTCCCCTCTGTCACGGCCCACGTCTGGCCCAGGGCTCCTACCTGCTCCCCCCGGGCAGGATCCGCCGCCCCCCCGGTCCCGGCCGTGCTGCGGACGGAGCGGTGGAGGATGCTCGCTCCCTCCCTCCCCCTCTTCCTCCCGGGGCGCTAGCGGGGCTGGGCTCGGGCCTGGACTGGGGATGGGGTCGGAGCGTTACCGGGCCCGGTGCGGCGACGACCGGGCAGGGCCGGGCCCAGGCGAACCGAACCGAACAGAGTCAAGCGGAGCCGAACCGAGAGAATTCCAGCGGAGCCGAACCGAGCCGAGAGAAGTCGAACCGAGACGAGCTGAGACGAGCGAGGCCGAAGGAAGCCGAGCGGGCCGCACCGAACGGAGCCGGGCCGAACCGGGCCGGCCCGAACCTCCCCGAGCTCAGCCGAGCCCGGCCCGAACGCAGCCGAACCTTCCCGATTCTCGCCGACCTGAGCCGAGCGGAGACGAGCCCTGCCCGAACGCAGCCGAACGGTTCCGACCCGGCCCGAACGCGGCCGAACCGCCCCGATCCGCCCCGGGACGGTGTCTGGGGCGGGCCCGGCGCTCACGGCGCGTTCCCATTGGCTGCGGCCGCTCGGCGCTCCGCCAATGGCGGCAGAGCACGCATTAACCCGCAGAGCCCCGGCACGGCCCCGGCCCCTGCCCAGCCCGGCCAGCGCCCAGCCCGCGCTCATTTCCCTCCAAAACTTCGTTCCCATCCCGATCCCATCCTTATCCCCTCATCTCCCTCTCCCTCCCCAGATTGTTCCCCACCCCCATCCTTATGCCCCTCTTTATTCCCGTCCCTATTCTGTATGCCTCATCCTTATCCTCCTCCCTATCCCTGTCCCTTTCTCCATCATCCCAATCCTATACCCCCATCTCTATCCTCACACTTACCTCTCCCCTATCCCCATCCTCATTTCCATCTCTGGCCTCTATCCCCATCATTCCCCTTCCATTCCTGTCCTCATCCTCTTCCCCATCTCCCATTCCCATTCTCTCCCCATTCTCATTCTCATCCCTGTCCTCTGTCCCCATCCCCATCATCCCCATCCCATCCCTGTTCTCTTCCCCATTTCCATTTCATCCAGTTCAGTCCAGTCCCATCCCAGTTCCCATTCTCATCCCCATCCCTGTCCTCATCCCCATCCTCTATCCCCGTCCTCATCCCCATTCCTCTCCTCTTCCCCAACCCCTCCATCCCATCTCACCCCATCCTCATCCCCATCCTATCCCATGTCAGCCCCAGCTCCATCTACGTTCCCAGCCCCATCCCACTCCTGACAGCACAGCCCCACACTCCCCATTCCCCCCCTAAATGCTGAGCCCATCCCACAGCCTCACCCACGACCCCTTGGACAGAGGGGACTGTCCCAGGGCCCCCCCGAGGGCATTCCTGGGTGTCACAGCCCCAGCCAGCAGGGAGCCCCGCACCCTCCACGAGCGGCTCTGCCTCCCGCTAGTATTTTTAGATCCAAACATTCGTGCCGGATTTTGGGTCCAAAATTAGAGGGAAAAGAGCTGGAACAAACCATGCCGGGATGATGCAGCTTTTTATTGTGAAGGGGGGCAGGGATTAAAAGGAACCCCTGGAATACAGAACAGGATGTCCTCAGGGTGCCCCTCACCCTGTTCCCTTCACCCTAACTCCCCCCACCCCCCCGACTGGATACCCCCCTTAATCAGAAAGATAATTTTGTCCTTGGTTCGTCCTTATTTTCCCAGTTTTAATCTGAGATTTAATCCCTGCCCAGCCCTCCCAACACCCAGACCCACCCACACCCTGCCATCCCCACCCACGGGGCTTTGGGTGTCCCAGGGGACAGCAGGATTGGTCACGGGTGCATGTGACAGATGGGAGCACACGTGTGTCAGCACACACACGCACACACACGTGTGCACAGCCCAGGGACCCGTGTGTGCCCCCTCACACGTGTGTGCGCACGTGAGTACACCTGCCAGACGTGTGTGACACCCCCACACAGCCAGACACGGCACAACTGTGCACCCAGGTGTGCAAACACA